CCCTGGGGACAGCAGGCAAGGGCTGACTCACAGGGCTGGGCAAGCCGAGGCTGAGCCTGGGGACCAAGGGTACTGTGGCTGTGTGATTGTCTTCAGTTGTCCCCCAAGGTTGGGTCCAGCCGCAGGACATGGACATACCCATTGCTTATGGCTCGAGCTGGCAAGGTGCGCCAGGGGAGGAGGTGGACGCCTGAGGGAGGTTGGGCTGTCCAGGAGTGGAGAGGAAGGAGGTCAGAGGCCGGAGTTCCAGAAGGCACCGGAGGGGCATCCAGGAGGACCTGGACAGGGGAGAGGGCGGCTTGAGAGCAGGAAGTGAGGTGGGGATTTCAAAGGTGAGCCCTTTTGGGGACAAGGGGAAGGAGTGTCGTGGTCCGGGTGGCGAAATGGCAGAGCAGGCAACTGGAGACGGCGATGACATGGATGCTGAGGACAGCAGTGAGGCTGAACCAAGGCCTCAGGGCCTGAGAGGAGTGCCGGCGGTGATGGGTGCCGGGGTGGGAGTGGGACAGGCAGATGGTGGGAGGGGCTACTGAGGGAGGCCGCCGCACACCATGCGTCCTGACCCTCAGTCCATGGAAAGTGCTAGAAGGAGCCCATTCTTGGCAGCAGGCTGCAGGGAATCAGGAGAGCTGGGACCCTGCTGAGGTGGAAGAGGAGGAGGAAGATGTTGGGGGTGGGGGGAGGCTGTGGGACACCACAGGCAGGCTGCCCAGCGGCTGGGGTCACGGATTCAATGGGACCCGAAGGGCTGGATGGCAGAAGGTCCTGAGGGCTGTGCAAGGTCTCAGCAGGGCAGGAACCCAGGTCTGGGCAGCCCCGGGGTGGTGGGAAATGGGGGCACTCTGGTGTCTCAGGGGTTTGGGTTCATCTGTTGGAATATGCAGAAATGGGAAGAACAACTACTTTTAGTTCAGACACAGAGGGTGGCTGAATCCAAGAGAAGATTCTGGATGCGGAGGATATTTGTGTAGCTGAATAGTTTAAGGGTGAGGGTTTCAGCGGGAGCTGCCCACGGCTGCACAGCAGCCCTTGCTCTGAGAATGGGAACGAGATGGCTTTGGCTCACGGCGCCTTCAGGATCCAAGGCAAAATGCAGAGAGTCCACCATGAGAGCTCGAGTAAACTGCTGTCACCCCATTTAAGGATGAGGACCCCGAGGGTTAGTGCTTAGTCCCTGGTCCCCTGGTGACAGTCCTCACTAGGCAGCCCCTCCTCGGGAACACCAGCCCTTCTTCCCTCGGGTTTCCTGGCTTCGGCTTCCTCATCCCCTCTGAAGCCCAGCAGATTCCCCAAAGTTTAAAGACAAGTGATGCTTGGCCCCGGATCCCAGGCTCTCCCCCAGCCGGAGACCTCAGAGGAGGACATCTTCACCCTGGCGGCGCAGATGCAAAGCTCCCGGCTGGCATCTGAGGAAATGCGCATGGCTACGCGGGCCGGCCAGCTCCGTGTTGAAGGAGGTCCAGGGGCCAGAAATACACAGATGGGGGAACATGGCAGGAGGTGACCGAAGTGAAGCCCATGAAAAATCCCAAAGTCATTATCATTCGGCTGCGTTTGGAGCAGGGACAGTGCAAGGTTAGCAGGGGACAGAGGGCAGAGCCAGGCACCTCACTTCCATCCTTTCCATCAAAGGGAGCGCCCTTCAAACCCAGACGAGCTGAGCAAACGTGACAGGGAGGATCTGGGGACCCTGAGGTCACTTCTGCAGAAGCAGCACGTTACCGTCTTTCTGTACGTGATGACCAAATACTGGAAATGACCAAATGTCTCTGTTCACCCGTCCTGGTACTGTTAAGGGGGCGGGGGGGGGACGGTAGGTTCTGATAGCTAGGACGGGGCACCCGCACCGGTGTTCCCTCGAGGATTCTGGGATGAACGACTGAACACTCGTAGCAAGCGGCTGGGTCGGGAAGGGGGTGTTTTTAAGATCAAATTCTGCTGAGCTGGGCCGCCTTTCCACATGGATGGTGTCAGCAGTCCTGAGTAGGGGGGACGCCCCAGCCAGGCTGCACCCAGCGTCACAAGCGCAGATGAAGAGACAGGGCGGCTGGTAAAGAGGACAGACCCAGCTTCAGTAGTGTCCCAGGCCCCCCCACAGCTCACGGCCCCTCCAGCCCCCTCCCCTGAACCCTTCCCCCAAGGGAGCCACCCAGGCTTGTCTCTGAGCCTCACCTCTCATGTGTCCCAGCCTCTCTCCCAGGTCCCCCGCCAAGCCGCCTGGGCCAGCCCCTCACTGTCCTCCTCCGTGCCGCCAGCCCAAAGCATATTTTGGGCTCCATCTTCCCAAATCTCTGAGCAGTAGCCTCTGGCTTAACTTTTGAGGATGGGTGGAACTGGTCCCTTATCTCTTACCTGTGATTAACTTGAAAAGGTAATACGCGCACGTGCCTTGAAAACACAGCTGGGACAAAACACGTACAGTTAAGCCCCCGCCCACCCGATGACGGTGCCCCTCGAGGCCGTCCTGGGAGCGTCCTCGGGGATGCCTGCAGGTCTGCGAGAGTGCACTGCAGACCTCCCTTGTCTTCTCCACCAGTGGGAGCAGCCGTACGCGTTGTTTTGTATTTCACTTCTATATTCTGAAGATCATAGTCCCCGCTTTTAAAGGGGTGGCCTTCGGGGAGCCCCGCACTGCCTTCCTTCTACCTGGTTGGCTGCCTTGGCCAGAGGCTGCCTCTAGCTGAACTGTAAGGGTTGGAGTCCCTCCACATTGATTCCTAGGCCTTCTTTTCATCTCAAACTTTCCCCCGAAGCCCCGCTGTCTACTCCCAAGGCTTTCCACGCCAGCACCCTCAGCTTCGATACCCAAGTTCCTAGCTGGCGCCGGATGGCCAAGTGCACACGCCCACCGTTCAACTCCCGTCTTTCCGCAGACCTGACTTCTGCCTTTCCCGCGCCCAGCAGGGGCTGGTGCCTGTAGCTGTCCCACCTTCCTCAGAATCGCATTCGAAGGCCTCCTGGCCATCTGTGGGCGGTCGCGGCTCTTCTCCGGAAGGCTGCACCAGCCTCCTGCCTGGTCTCCCGATCCACTGCAGCTCCCCCTCAGTCCGGGAGCGCGGAACACACACCTCTGATCACGTCCGGCCCTGCTCACTCGGGCAGCTTCCTATTGCTGTTAGGATCAAACCTTGCAGCCCACTCTATGGGGGCCTGACACGCCTCACTCCCGGGAACTTGTTTCCTCAGTGCTGGGCTCCTCCTGCTTCGGGCTCCACATCCTCCTGGAAGCCCTCCCTTGAAACCCCGCCTCCCGGCCCTGTGGATCTCACTTTCCCTTGACCTGCGCTCTGCAGGTCCCTTCCACATTGTCTTCCCGATCCCAGACATAGTCAGCTACCGCCTTATGTCTGGCATAACCCAGTGTCTTTTATCCTTCGACACCCTCAAACTGTTAAGCGCAGGACTGTGTCTTGTTCAGTATGGTCACCCCAGGACTGAGCCGTCAGAAGTTCCTTCCTACATGTAAACATGTTTGCAGAACAAACGAATGTCGTGCTTGTGCCCAGCTCCACCCCTGCACATGGTGCCCCCCTGCCTGGGCCACCAACCTTTCTGGGGTGCAGTACAGCTTCCATGATTGAGAACTCGGGCCCCGGAGCCACACTGTCTGGGTGTGAGCCTAGGCTCTACCGACGTATTGGGTGCGCGACCTTGGACATGGTACTTGATGTCTCTCTGTGCTTTGGTTTTCTCCCCTGTGATAAAACGGCACTAAGAATAGCATGTGATTCACAGGATTAAAGGCAATACTATCTAATTCATTGATGAAAGAAAAAAAAAAGTGCGTGGCATTGAATCTGGCATATATTTCTCCCCTTATTCATTCCTGGGCCATGTCCAGCCAGTCCTCCCCTTACCCGTGATAACCTCCTACTGCTCTGTACTGCTTTGTTTCTGGGACAAAAGTCATTTCTGGTGAGAGTCCAGAGTTTCTGAGAATCGATATCCCGTTGGCTCTGTCCGCTGGGAAGACTGGACCCAAGAAATAGTCCTCAGTGCATTGAGGAAAGGTAAGGCCTGACATGGCTGAGGAGCTGGCCTGCACCCACCGTCCCAGGGGTCACCTGCAAGTGCAGGAATGAACACTGACTTACTCAATTTTCTTTTTCAGGGTTTTAAGAAGCTCACATACAAAAAAACCGTTAGGGTGCCTGGGTGGCTCAGTTTGTTGGGCGACTACCTTCGGCTCAGCTCATGACCCCAGAATCCTGGGATTGACGGGCTCCCTGCTCAGTGGGGGGGGGGGGGGTCTGTTTCTCCCTCTGACCCTCTCCCCTCTCATGCTCTCTCTCTGAAATAAATAAATAAAATCCTTAAAAAAAAAAAAAAACCCTTAGATTTTTAAATCTTGAGAGTCCACAGTTAAACCCAAGATGGTTACAAAATATGGAGAATCACCTTAGTGAGACATGAGGGGGAAAGGCTAGAATGGAACTAATTAGTGAAATGATTAAAATAAAAAAAATGATAATGATTTTACAGCAATTGAAAACATGGAAATTAGAAAACTTTCTATTTTGCACGTTTTTTTCAGAAACCTAGACTAGATCATGACTCCCTTACCCTCCCAAACTGAATGAACAAGACTGAGTGTGAAAGAGGAAAAGAGCTCAGACACATGGAGACCTGTGAATCTTGGGGCGCATCTGGGTCCCTCGCAGCCCGACCCCAGCGCCTGGCACCCTTCAGGGTGGGTCCACGTGGGCGGGATGCCGAACTCCCTTTGGAGACTCCAGTAAGTAACTCCTGGATAAAATCTGTAAATCTCTCAGAAGTGTTCTAGTGAAATAATAGAAAATAGTAGAGAAGAACGAACCTGATTTAGATGAAAATGTGGTATTTCCAAGAAAACCATAATAATTTTAAACAGTCCCTGGTTAACTGAATCCTGGAACCATGGGGAAGTTCACGTAGAATTCCTCCCTTACGGAATACAATCACCTCTATAATCGAGGACTGCATGCTCTAGGGCTGAAACAGACTATATCCAACTCAGCAGGTTCTATACAAGCCATTTATTGGAAACGCCAACTATATGTAGGATAAAGTCAGTGCTACATGCTTATCAGTAACAGTAGAAAAATAGAACCAGTGGAAACCTTTGTACAACCGTAATGATACTCAAAAGAGAAATGTATCGTTTTACAATGCTTCACACAGACGAATTCAAGTTTGGAGGTACCTAAATAAAAATACTATATATTTCTTTAAAAAACACTATGTACAATTGAAGCGTAAACAAGTTTTACAAAGTACTGGTTATGCAGGTTGTAGAAAACACTTGCATAGGACATGAAATCAGTTTAAGAAAAATTTCTGAGCCTTTAGCATTGAAGGCACTTGACTTTATACCAGTAACAGCACAACCACAAGAAATGCAGTGTTGTATAAGATACCACCTCTCTGCGGACAGATGTGGTACACAAACAGCAAGTGGGGTTCAGGGAACGTTATCTTTCAGCCACCTCATCTAAGAGCAGGGTTCCATACCACCTGCCCATGGAACCCAGATACACAGTCACGTGGAGGTACATCATGAAGCTTCCAGAGCTTATCGTGTCTCTTAGAACCCACGTAAACACACAAACACGAGAGGTTATTTTCAAGACACACACTTGCAAAGACTCTTTCTACAGAAATAGCCACAGCATTATAATAATATTCAGAAGAATGTGGAAGATTGACACGTGGTCTTGAGGGTTTTCTGAAGGAAAAAAAGAAATCCCAAGACTTGCCAATAAAACAATTACATAACAGCTATTGCAATCTATAGGACAAAAGGACAACTTAACATTTCATAAAACATCGTTCATACAACAGTGTTAATGGAAAATAGTAAAATACCTTTTAGTGTGTGACGTAACGCTTTTAGTCAGGTTATGTGTGATGAGGTTTGAAAGTAAACCACTTAGTAGACAAAGTAAACCATTGCAGAACCGGGAATAGCACCCATCACTGCTGCTTTAATAGTAACTTTCAACAGAAAGCTGAAAGTCAACCAAATAATAATTAAAAAAAAAAAAAAAAAAAAAAAGAAGTCAAATAAACACTTCCCTTTGAGTTTGTTCCTAAGGTAAAAACACGAATGCTTCAGAACTGCAAAACAAGTGCTTCATGAAACACGTTTCCCCCTGAAAGGCAGATTACACAAGAAAATCCCTATTTTGCTGTGTAGTAACCGAGAAGTGTTCCCCCTTCCCCCGCAGAGACCATCGCGCATCGAGGTCAGCCGTGAGCCCCCGTGGCCCCCGCCACCCCTCGTCACGCTCTGCAGCATCACCCACGTTCACATGGACAAGGGCTGCCCGCTGCCAGGATGTGACCAACCAGTCAAGAGAAAACCCAATACGAGGTGGCAATTATAGTAATAAGACTTGTTGAGGATGTAAAATCAAGAATTAGGTAAGGTTTCACAGAGAGCTCTACAAAAAGATTCAAATATAAAGAACTTGTTAAAAATCCTTAAAATCCAACTGGTTCTGGAAATGCCAGGAGAGCTTAGGTCTAGGGGCGTGTGCCTAGAAGGAGCTAATGGGGCACGGGAGGAAGGCCATGGTGCGTGGAAAACGGAAAAAGCTGCTTTTCACTGATAGTTTTTGCCTTTCATGCTATTTCTTTTTGAGTCACAGGTGACTCTGAACTTAACTTATCCACCAAAATCACAAAACTAAAACAAAAATATAAGAAGAGGACCACCAGCATCTTGAAGAAACGTGGATCTTCTCTTCCCGCTCCAGGAGCGAAACGGTAATTCTCTAAACCGCGGCATGGTGGGCACCGAAGGTGGCGATTGTCTCACGGCCTGATTGTCTGTGGCCTCGAGAGGAGATCTGGTATTTGGAGATTTGGTTCTCATGAAATTTCTAAACCAAGTGAAATGCCAGGTCCTGGGGCCTAAATTTTATATTACACATACCTTTTTTTCCCCTAAGACCAATCTTACTCAGACTTCACATTTATGTTAGCACAGCATTAACAGAATTTTAATGCCCAATAAGCACTTCAGAAGGTCGGAGAGGTGGGTTCCAAAGGCAGAGGCACACAGCGATTCACTCTACCCTAGCCACCACACTTCACAAGATCCAGCCGAAGGCCACTGACGCCTACCCTGGCACGCACAAGCCACACCTGCTCACCCTCTGCAGGTCACACCAGCCCACCACCCCACAGATTAAACCAAGTTCCTCTCTATACACACTTTAGTCAGATCAGCTACTAAATTCTTAAAAGCAAACTTCATCAGTTAGTTAGGAACAGTGGCCACTTATTTTTATGTTTGGGGATATGAAAGAGTATTTAATAAGTTTTCAGGAAAATGACATCAAACAGCTCTTGTCTGACATTTTAAAAAATACAGGTCAGAGATGAGAAAGCTTTTTCCCACCCAAATCAGCTCTACTCACCCTTATTTCCAGTACCAGCACAGTACAGCCTGAATTCAGAATAGAAATTTAGAACCATATCAAAATAATTCCTGTCGATACATGTATATAAATACACAGGGAGGAATATGATGGAATTAACAATTTTTGTTTCTGAAGAGAGAGAGCGACTGAAGTTGGCTTCAAAAGACACCATCATCTATTATAAAGAGTCAAACCTCCTAAAAATGAGCACAGAGTCCTATGTTTTTCTATCTTAAAAAAAAGGAGCCTCAAAGGCGATGCCAGCCGACCTCCCAGGGGACGAGCATTCGCCCTGGGAGGCCTGGAGCTCAGCGCGCAACACCACCAGCGCCGACGAACACTCGAGCAGCAGCTAACTAGGCAGGCAGAGCGCGGGGCAGGGGTGGGCCGGTGTATGGAGACAGACTGACGTGTTCCCCGTCTCTGAGACTACCTACTGTTAGGATTTTTTTAAATGTCCGATTATTCCTGAGTGTATATCCACAGGGTAAAGTAAGAAAGACTGTAAAGAGAAACTACAGCTACGGGAGAAATCAGTTGTTGGCGCCCAATAGAAACCTCTTTACTCAAAAGTGCATGTAATTCATTTATATGGTAGCTTGTGAAGGCTCCCGAGCCCTGCATAGTTTTCGAGTGAGTGTGAGTGAGTCATAGTTTTATATATATATACAGACACAGAAAAGAGGCTCCCGGACATCCTTCACAAGAGGGAAGGCTCGGCAAGGCCCTTTTCTTCTAAGTGCTACGGCTGTGTGTGTATGTGTTTGTAAAAATACAAAGTGAATGTTCAAATAATGTTGAAGTGATTTAAAAACTCAAATACTAATATATTTACATTGGAGAGTAAGAAAAAAAAAAACAGTCCTTAGCTCACACATTGCCCTTCCAAGGGAGAGGACCTTAAAAGATCCCATGTGCTCAGTGGTTCAGTAAAATCCCAAACCAGCGTCCCCAGTGGAGTTCAAGTAGGACATGTAGTGTTTCACTGGGAAAAAAAAAAGGTTTCTTTTTCTTTTTTGGTGACAAAGGATTATGCGTTCTACAACACTTTTAGGACACCAAAATTCAGACAAACTTTGAAAAACATTTAAAAGAAAACACAGGCTTACAAACACCAAATGACATCCGTAAGACTGAAGCCCTTTTGTTTTTTTTTTTCCCCACAGAGAGCAAGACAGCTGAAGGCAGCAAACAGTCATTTCCCGTCTCAGCTGGAGAGTCGACGCTCAGAACCAGAAATCCCATCGGGCAATCTTTAGGTTACTTTGCTGTTTCTGCCGCCTCAGGATTCCAAGAAATCCAATGTCTCGAGGACCTCATCTAGTTCTACGCTAACGCACGCTACCAGCATTGGCAGGATTCTGACGGTGCCCACACACCGAACAAAGCTACAGCTTCAGCCTGGGCACAAAAGGCTTTGCTCCTTTCAGTTCTTTACCGAACCAGAACATGTCAGGATCCTGACCGGACTCCCGCTGGAGGAATGAAGACCAGCTCCCAAGACTTGTTAAGGAAGAATGATATTAGACTTAATGGAGATCGAGCAGGAAGATTTCTGAACTAAAACAATTACCGAAGAGAGAGGAGCATTTTGATGTGCTGTTCTTTGGAATTTCTATAATTAAAAAATAAGCACAGAACTATTTCATAAGAAAATACATCTTAGTGTGCAGTCCGATGCACGTGGAAACTGGTAGATGAAAGGTAAAATGCAAAAAAGTATGAAAATACGGTTCCTTTAAATGTGGCAATAAAGTTTGACATACTGATATAAAATCAATACCGACAAAATAAATGTACAAGTGCAAAAAAATCCCATCATTTGTAAAGAGAAGAAAAAAAAGTGCCAGCTTGCTTGCTCTTAAAAATGCTTCCCCACACAACTGCTCAAACACAAAACAGATGCACCATTCAAAAGAACCCTCGTAGCATGCCACGCCTCATGAACATGTATATACAAAAACTAGAATAAAATAATGCGAAACTGAGTTAGCTGGCATCGAGAAACTGGTCTCTAAGTTGTCAGGTTACATCATAAAATGGGATGTTTCACATCTCAGGCACAGACGACTTGGGAGGTTGCTCTCAGAGGGCAGACTTTTTGTAGAGGAAGTCTGGCTTGCTGGGGGACCTCCTTCCCCTGCTTATCGAATCTTCCCTTTCTAAATCGGTATTTCGCTGAGCTCCGAGGCCCAGGGACTCGCTGTCTGCCAGTCTCCTACCGGATCTCTCTTCCGGAGCTTCAGAGCTGCATGCGGGATGTGAGGGTCGGTTGGGGGTCAGCCCGAAAGTCAAGTCGGTTTCTATTGCTGTTCGTCCCCTGACATGGGCTGGACCGTTGCCAACGTTTTCCGGGGCTGCCAACGGAAAGTCTGACCGCTGGGGCGATTGCTCAACAACGTCAAGGTGGATTGGCTCGTTCTTTTGTCTGTGAGGATGTCCGTCAGGGGAAAGTGGATATTCTCTCCTAGCTTCTTCCTGCTTTTTAGGAGAGGTCTGGCTGGGCAGGTAGGCTGACTTTAAGCCACTTGGTGATGCCTTACTGTGGCTATACAAATCGGGACCGAAGTATCCACCTTGCGAAGGGGAAGGGGTGCGTCTGCCAGGAGCAGGCGTCGAAGGTCTGCAAGCAGCATTTGAGAAGTCATAGAAATCCGGATATTCCTGCTGATTTTCTCGAGCATCGACTTTTTGCTCCAGAGTGTGTTTCTTCCGAGACGTGTGTGTATGCCTCTGTGGAACACATGACAGATGCTGGGGAGGCGCTGGTCCTACTTCCGAAACAGACTGGCTTAGTTCTGTGTCTACAGCCAGTTCTGGAAGCCTCCTGTCCTTGAGTGACAGTGTGGACACACCCATGGCGATGTCTGGCATTAGATCATTTAGCACAGGTTGTGTACACTGCAAACAGAGATAAGAGAAGGGAGGTTAAAAAAAAAAGGCCCAGGACTCCCTCTTTGTACAAATGATGTTCACTGGTTTTGCTTCTTTATTATAAAAGTAATACAGGCTTATTTTTAAGAATAACACGATATAGGTATCTGCGTGTCTCAGTCAGTTAAGGGTCTGACTTTTGATTATGGCTCAGGTTGTAACCTCAGGGTCATGGGATCAAGCCCTGTGTTGGGCTCAGCGTGGAGCCTGCTTGTCTCTCTCCCTCTGCTTCTCCCCACTCCCCTGCTTGCTTGCATGCTCTCTAAAATAAATGCATTTTTAAAATCTTAAAAAAAAAAAAAAAAAAAAAGAATGGTTACAATGCATAAAATCATAAAGGCCAAAACCCCCAAAACCAAACAAAAAACCCACTAATCTTCCCTACTGAGATAATCACTGTTAACATTTTGAGGTATTTTTCTCACTTTTTTTCCTTCTGTTCATATATTAATTTTCATAAAATGTAGTACATATGTAAGCCTGTCACTAAATTTTGAGATTACTATTTAAATTACAGCATACTATTGCATTGTATTGCTGAATCATGGCTTATTTATCTCATTCTCCCACTGCTGACATTAAGGATGTTTCCAATTTCTCATTATTATAATCAAGACTATAACGGGGTGCCTGGCTGGCTTAGGTGGTGGAATGTGTGACTCCTCATCTCGGGGGTCATGAGTTGAAGCCCTGTGGTGGGTATAGAAATTACTTAAAAATAACATCTTTAAAAAAAAAAAAAAAAGACTGCAATGAACATACAAATAAATTATCTTTAAGGAAATTTTATTTAAAATAAAAAGTAGTAGAACTTTTGAAACTGTGGAACTGACAACAAAGCCAATAGGATGGAAATGTGGACTATCAAACACTATCAATCTCTGTTGTTTTTTCTTTTTTAAGGGGCTGGGGGGGGCAGCAGGGAGAGTGGGTGGAAGGGTCTAAGGTAAGGAAGGATCATAATTTGACCCCAGGGGTACACTAGTCCACAGTGTCCAAAAAGTCATATTTTAATAAAGATCCCCTGAACTAATCTATGTACTGTTTGCTTTTCTTTTCTTTTTTTTTTTTTTAAAGATTTTATTTATTTATTTGAGAAAGAGACAATGAGAGAGAGCATGAGCAAAGAGAAGGTCAGAGGGAGAAGCAGACTCCCCATGGAGCTGGGAGCCCGATGCGGGACTCGATCCGGGAACTCCGGGATCATGACCTGAGCCGAAGGCAGTCGTCCAACCAACTGAGCCACCCAGGTGTCCCTCGTTTGCTTCTCTATTGAAGACCACTGACAATGTGTGAACGAGCAGGAAGGCTTAAAAATCACTACCGTTGGGGCGCCTGAGTGGCTCAGTGGATTAAAGCCTCTGCCTTCTGCTCGGGTCATGATCCCAGGGTCCTGGGATCGAGCCCCACATCGGGCTCTCTGCTCAGCGTGGAGCCTGCTTCCTCCTCTCTCTCTCTCTCTCTGCCTGCCTCTCTGCCTACTTGAGATCTGTCTGTCAAATAAATAAATAAAAATCTTAAAAAAAAAATATCACTACTGTATTTTTTCCCCCAAAGGTATTATATAAACAGAAATTCAACCTCTAATACAAGGCAAACTCGACCCAGGAGTTCTTCCTTAGTTTACTAGCTACCGACGCCAGCTGCTGCGCCTCCCAGTCAGACGGGTGCTCTCGTGCAGCAGCTTGCCAGGCATAGGGCCGGATCATCTGTCCACTTTCTGAATGGGGAGTCTTCCGCCACTGCTCCCGACAGTATACACAGCTGGAACTAACGTCCCCTTCCCGGCCCATCAAAGCACTTGGTAGAAGAGTAGACTCTACAGAAATGAGGGCAGATTCTAGACATGTGCTTGAACGGAGCATCACAAAACTGCCAACATCCACGGGCACTGCCCACTGATGCCACCCTTTCCGAGTATCTGCAATGAATACGAAGACAAGGAAGGTACCAACTACCCCCGACGCATACCCCGTGTCTTCCCAGAGCCCTCACTGCTCCACTTTCCTTCTCTCTCTTTTCCACAGCCACGCAGTCTAAGCTTCCAGCTTGTCGGTAACACTCCTGGGCACTGCTGAGTCCCCGCAGGGCTCCTGGGGTCAGGGAAATTGCTTCTAATATTCCAGGAACATTTTAGGTAAATTAGTGACGTGCAAACTTACCACTTGTTTCTCACACGCTGCTGCTGCCGAAGGGGCGGCGGCAGTGGCCACGGCCACGGTCGGTCTCCCCAGTCCTGCGGTGTTGGCACAATCAGGAGCTGCTGCTTTGACACCTGGCAAGTAGACTGGAGGGGGGCCGGCTTTAGGGGCCGTTCTGGAGTGAAACAGGGAATGATTACAGGGATAGGAGAACGAACGTGAAGGGTGCTGGCTGGGAGGTCTTTGTTTCCAGCCTGTTTTGAGCTGGTTATGGATTGGGGTGGCTGGGGGATGGTATGGAGGTGGTGGGGGCGGCAAGGGTGGATGGAAGGCCACAAAGGAGTCCAGGTCTGTAAACATGGTTTCCGCAGTGGGGGTACTGTTAACACGACATCTCCCAGATTGTCTCATTGTCAAGAGTGGACTTTCATCCCCGAAACGTTCATCCGGAAAGAACTTGTGAGGATTCTAAGAAAGATTTAAAACAAACAAACAAACAAACAAACAAAAAGGACATTAGCAAATTTCCTAGATAGAAATTTAGAGGCTGAGAGCATTAAGTGAGATCCTAAGAAAACCACATTCAACAAGAGTAAAAGGCACAATATATTCCTCTAGGCCAGAAGCCCAAGAAAAAATTACTTTAATAAAAGCACAAAAGGATGTAGTGGAGGCTCTCCAGCCTCTCACAGGGCTACCAAGGAGAGCTGCGTAACTAAATATTCCAGCAAGCAGGCCGGTAATCTCTTGCAAGATTATGTGATAATGCAAAAGCAGGAAATAAAACCTAATTCAAATGTGTCTTTGCGGAGAAAATAAAATTAAGTGCCAAAGGAAGAAAGGGCATACAAGTGAGGATCCTCCTTGAATTTTCTGACGCAACATCTATACTCTGTCTGAAATAAAAACTGTAAAATACTCAATCCTTTCCTGTTACATGTAACTCAGTATGATAAGTATTTTGATAAACATTATATAAGAATACTTACAGCACACTTTTATACATGTTAAGATGTCAAACGAAGATACAATTTAGCATGGCAAAAGGGCAAGAAATGAATAGAAAACAAGACTCTATTTCAGGGATGGAAACCACGGCAAAAAAATTAAAATCAGAACCAGCCTGCTGCCCTGCCGACACCACACCGCTCTCCCCTTTGAAGACTCAGGCTAAACAAGCCTGGAGTCGGTGGCAAAAAAAACTCAATCACTTGACCAGACAAAATTAAATTTTATTTTAGGCTCTGATTTCGCGTCTGTGAACGGACTACTTTACACGTTCTTCCTTCATTGCAAAACCAATGCTACAGCTCTGGTACTTGGTAAGAAAGGAGTTTTTTCCCCTGCTTGTTAAAAAAAAAGCATTCACTCCCTGATTCTCATGCTTACAGGATTTGTAACATCATGCAAAAAATGTTTTATCATCTGGAGGAGGAGAGAAGAAGCAGAGGGGCATCTGGCAGATATGTCAAGTCCGGTCGTAGTCCAAAACCTGAAATCTAGAGACCCAAAGAGGGACAGAGAGCAGTGGAGGGTCAGAATTTTCTACTTCCTCTTTCACCTTTGATGGGGATGCACACTGTGAACTTTCAGTGGGCTTGTTAGGCACAAGAGACAGCTGCTTCCCCACGGCACCTCTTATCTTCACAACATCCACTCTGCTGGTACAGAAACGGGTACTCGGAGTGGTTGGCCCAAGTTAACTCACTGATAAGCAGCAGAGCCAAGAGGTAAATTCAACTCTCCCTCCAGAGTCTGTGTGCTCCGTCTACCCCGCACACAGCCTCTACTGGGGGCGGGGTGGGGGTCTGTGGAGATGGAGTGCAGCGGACAGGACTTCCAGCTATCACAGACCCTCGAGGCAGCAAAAGGGAATGCACTGAGAAACAGACGCACGCCGCGAGGGCTCCCTGAGAGATCTGAAATCCTGTCTGCGTGATGATCAAGGTTCCTATCTCACCTAGTCAAATGCCATCCCCACCTGCAAGAGCTCGGCGGCAGCGTCCGCGAGACCAAACTCTCTTAAGACTCGAATTTGAATTTCGTAGCTGACCGTGGCACCTTCCCCACAGTTGAGTGCGTAGGCTCTCTGCACTTGCTCGGTGTGCCGCAGCTCCTGCAGACGTCTGACCATGTCTTTCATAATGAGGAGACGAGGAACTGAAAGAAGAAAACGTTGGTTCGCAAATATACCGGAGCTGCATGCAAGACCAGCCACGGAGCACAAGAAAGCGAGCATGTGTTCTGCATTAGAATCTTCTCGTACATTTGTTGATAGCTTTTTAATTTCCTGGGAACAGTAATTTATATGCTGTCTAGAGAAGGGGAACCCTGAGTGGAGTCTGGAAAAAGGAGAAAACCAGGCAGGTAAAGAATGTAGAGTGAAAGCATGTGTCTCAAGCAGAAGGACCAGGCACGTGTCAAACAGGCAGGTGACACAGCATGGCACGAGCAGCCGGCCACACTAGTAGCTGAGGGTTCAAAGGTACAAGCAGGAAGAGTATGAAGAGAGAAGGTGAGAAAGATGGGTCGGAGCAGATCACGAATGACCCTGCATGTCACGGTAAGAACTGACACTGTATTTTGGGTACAACCGGGAGTTGCCTGTGCAGGGGAATGACAGGATGAGAGCAGAGCAGTGAGGTAGTCAGCATACTCTGAGAGCAGGGTAAAGCAGGGGTTGGCAAACTACAGCCCGGAGGATGAATCTATCCTGCTTCCTGGTTTGTAAATAAAGTTTTACTGACACACAGCTACACCCACTTGTTTCGGTAGCGTCTGTGGCTGCTTCTGATGGCACAGTTGAGTAGCTGCGATGGGGACTGCAGAGCCATCAAAGCCTAAAATATCTACATAACGGCCCTCCAAGAAAAACGTGTGCTGAGCCCTGGTGTAAACGCCAGAATGGGAGTAAGGGTAGAGGCACGAGCACAGTTAGGAACCTGAACAAAGGCTGTAGCACAGGGGCTGGGGGATAGGTGACACCATCTATAAATATCTAAGAGACAAACTGCCCAGACTGGCCACTGGCTACGATTTCTGGGGAAAGCGGAGCTATCATTTACTGAGCACCTAACTTTGTGCCTGGCGAACTCCTAAGCAACTTACTCGTGGTACTTCCTCAAATCTTCCTAACAACCCTAGAAAGGAGATATTATATCCATTTTGTAGGCAAGGAAATTAATGCTCAGGGAAGCAGGTTATTTTGTCAAAAGTCACACAAATAAAGTAGCAGAGCCAGGACATGAGCCTTACTGGCATCTTCTCCAATAAGCTATACGGCCTTCCTTCAGAGCGAGGTGAGCAAGGAAGAGGGAAGGATCAGATAACACCAGAACAGGAGGAGGCCTTGTTAAGTAAGACAACAAAGACGCCTTATTTTTCTGAACATACTTAATTGTGAACATCTCTGGGCTTTTTAGGTTCAGTCCTAAGATTAAATTATGCTGCTATTCAATTGTATTAACTCAAGCTGATAAAAACCGGGCCAATGACCCACAGCTTCAATATTCTGCACCAATCAGCTCCAGTAATATTTCTCTTCCCACGGTTGTCCAGTGTATACTTTTTTTTTTTAAAGATTTTATTTATTTATTTGACAGCCAGAGATCACAAGTAGGCAGAGAGGCAGGCAGAGAGAGAGAGGGGGAAGCAGGCTCCCTGCTGAGCAGAGAGCCCGATGCGGGGCTCGATCCCAGGACCCTGAGATCATGACAAGCTAAAGGCAGAGGCTTAACCCACTGAGCCACCCAGGCGCCCCTGTCCAGTGTATACTTTAAAGAAATGATGGTCAGTATTTTGTCCGTAGTGGCCAGATCTGATAAGGCCAACAATCGATTAGACATTAGTCCCAGAATAAAATGTACGTGTTCAGTTAAAAGTTCTGTTATTCTTTTATTTGTCCTTAATTGAAACAGACATTTATAAGCAGAAGATGAATGGTGCCATTTCTAACAATGCCATAGTTCTCTGATGTTTTTAAATCTTGAAGTAGTAACTGGCTAGAGCTATAGAGCTATAAAATTTCTGACCTCCAGATCACTGTGGATTTTCTTACCTTAAAAACTGACACTTGTGTCCTTTGGTTAAAATCAACATTAATGATGCTTAGAAAATTTTGGACATAACAGTTATATCTCTAACTATGGGCAATTTCCTCAATGTCATGACAGAAGCCTGTGCTACAACAGAGTTCAGAGAGCAGATTCTGGGAAGCTGGATGGATCTCTAGGAAACCAACAGCGATGATCACATTTGGGAGCACATGTCTAGACTCAAACATACAAGTTTATAACTCTCCTGAAAGAGTCTTATGTGAACGATGCTTTACGGTGATGAAAAATCTGAATTCCATTGAACTAGGGGTTCTCAACAGGAAGTGATTTTGCCTCCATAGAACATATTTAGCAATGTCTAGAAACACAAAAATGTTTCCAAAAGGTTGTCACAAAGGATTTTGTGCATGTATGTGTGTGTGCATGCACCTGCGCGCGCTACTGGCTACTAGGTATAGGCCCTGGATGTGTTGAACACCCTTCAGTGCACAGGACAGCCCCCTCAACAAAGAATTGTGTCAAGACGGCCAAAGTTGAGAAACCCTGGGCTAACTGGGAATCTGTACGCACCTGTTACCCAAAAATAAAATATGAAACCAAAACACCTAGCTTATTAAGTATTAATTCTTTAATGAGAACAATGCATAATAGATACTGGAAAGTGGAGAGAATTAGCACATATAAAAAGGCTACAAAAATGATCAGATTAGGGACGCCTGGGTGGCTCAGTCATTGGGCATCTGCCTTTGGCTCAGGTCATGGTGTCAGGGTCCTAGGATTGAGCCCCACATGGGCTCCCTGCTCAGCGGGGAGCCTGCTTCTCCCTCTCCCACTCCCCCTGCTTGTGTTCCCTCTTTTGCTGTGTCTCTCTCTCTCTCTCTCTGTCAAATAAATAAATAAATAAATCCTTAAAAAGAAAAAAGGATCAGATTATTCATTTAAATATAAATGTCTGACAGAAGGCTACCGTCTCACCTGGAATTTCATTGGCTACGACTGAAGGAGGGCTTGACTGGTGACTGCTGATCTGCTGGTGGCTCATCATGTGACAGCACTGTGGCACAGCGGTGTTGACCATGTAAAGTGTGTCTGGCACGTTGGACATTCTAACCATTCGCAAACGCACAAGATCTGTTTGCTCCACCATCATCTCATCCAGCACTGACTGAAATAACAGTTCAGTATTAACTCATCTCTGTAAATCATGTTTGGGCCTTCATCATATAAAACGGGAATTAATTTATTGATTTCAGTGCATGAAGCTTAAAATTAATAGTGAAAGGAGAAAGAACCCCTACCTCTTTAATTTTTAAAGAATCTTTCTGTATCATCTTTGGAAAGAAATAAACATCTTCCAATTGTTTGCTTTTAATTAAAGTATTCGAAATTTGAAGGAAGGTATAAAATTAGTCAGAAGGAAATTATACCTAAAGTTACTATAAAAACAATCTGTACATTGCTAAATATCAGATCCAGCAAGAAATGCTCAAAATACAAAATACTGAAGATCGATTTTAAATTCAACAGAGCGATATATAACCTGATTGTTAAGTTAGTTTCAGAAGAATCTCAACAAACCACAGGGTGGCCAAAATGATGTAATGGATAAGTCTTTCCCACATTTCCCGGGGGTAATTTTCTACTTAAGTCTGGGTTCAGCTGTCAGGGAATAGGGAAGTCCCAGGAGGAGTATTTGATTAGCTCCCCGCTGCCCCATTCTGAAAGAGCAGAATACGGGGTCATTTATTACAGACCTTTTATCACCAGAAGCCTTTGGTAAAGGCCTCTCCTAAGCTCTGACAATCAAAATGAGAAAAAAATTAAGGTAATTTAATTCTATACCGAAACACAATGTTTTGCCGTTAATTTGTTTCACTAAACTTAATGGTGATTTCTGACTTTCAAAGAGTTAGTCAGTTCCTCAAAAGGCCATCCCAAAGTTCTAATGGCCAGATACAGCTAATAAACATTACAGTATTCCATTTTCACATTACCATATTTTCTTGGAGTTCTTCGTATTATGATATACAATTTACTTAACAAGCCTCAAATTTTATCTTAGTTTTGTGCACTTATTCTAAAACTAAACATAACTTCCAACAATCAGCCATTACAGAAACGCATTATAAGAAACCATGTCATTTCTCTACATTAAGAAAGACAAAATGTGTGCAATCTTCTTTCAGAACATTTTTCCCATCTTGAAGATCACAAAAAAGATCACTATTATTTCAGTAAAAATTTTTTTTCCCAAATTAACAATTTGCAATGCAACTAAGAGGAGAAAAATGTAAAATGCAATTCAACATGACCTAAGTTATAGAACATGCTTGATAATTAAACATTTCAGACAACTACTCCCGTGAGTAGTTGAACTAGAGTTTACTTTCACTTTCCCTATTACTGAGTATTTAGGCAATTTCTAAATATGTTTACAATACCAAAATGAGTATCTTTGTGCTTATAGTTTGTAAAATGTACTCTAATATCTTAAAATGATTTTCGTTACCTTTGCTTCCTCCACATAGGGAGAGAACAGTCGAGGACGAACATATATTCCAGCATTTTTTTGCCGTAACCAGGCATTTGATTTTCCACCTTCTGTTGCAGGAAGCATATCCGATGGAGGAGTACTAATCAAGCCTCTTTTCATCTTGAAAAAAATAATTTTTAGATGAACTAGAGATTTGTGTAGACCTAGGTTACTACTAAGATAAAAAAAAAAAAACTATACCTATAAATCATGAAAATTTAGGAATATATGTGAAATTTCAAAATACTCCAAATGTTTAAGAATATTTAAAGGATTCAGCAATAAAAAGGTACTATAATTCACCACTTTCCTCTATACAGAGGAATGATACTTTTAAAACAAGAGCTATAGTAATTAAAAATAGAATGAGTTGGACTAGTTTTCAGAACTTTTAATGAAAACCAATTTCTATTTTTTCCCTTACTCATCTAGAAACGGATTCCATCTCCACCCCACCCCCCACAAGACAAAACAAGAACATCTTCTTGGGCCTGTAACTATAGTACAAGGGTGCAGACGGTCTGCCTGGTGGTTAGGGACAAGGAGCTTTAGGGGAGGCAGATGGGACACAAATCCCTAACTCCCATTTAATAGCCACGTGACCATGGACATGTCCTTTTATCTGGACCTCACTTTAAGGGCTCCCAGATGGCCCTCGAGACAGGACACTGCATGACTAACTAAATGTGGTGGCCCTGTTGTTTCCTTGTCTGTGCTAGGAGAAAATAAAGCAAGCACCTACAGCTTGTTTAGGTGGTTCTAAGGATTAATGATGGTAATGCAGGTAATGCACTCAGCACTTACCACACACCAAGAATGTTTTATGCTTAATAGCCATTATTAGCAAACTTTCACTGGGGACTTCTGGGTGAAGCATGGAATTAAGAACAGAGATATGTATTTTCTAAGTCTACTAAACCAAAGTTCTAAATTATTTTTCTAAAGCAAATTCAGGGCTCAATTTGGTTTGTGTTCCAGGTTTTGTTTTTTAAAAGATTTTACTTATTTGAGAGAGAGCATGAGAGAGAAAAATCTCATGTGTGCACGCACAAGCAGTAGGGAGGGGCAGAGGGAGAGGGAGAAGCAGGCTCCCCACTAAGCAGGGAGCCTGATGTGGAGGGGCTCGATCCCAGAATCCTGGGACCATGACCTGAGCCAAAGGCAGAGGCTTAACCGACTGAGCCACCCAGGCGCCCAGTTAAAAATTGTTTTTAACTAATAAAATACAGCATTAGATAGTATTTAGAAAACAGAGAAAAACTCCCAACTCTAATCTACTCCAACTGTAATAATGCTTATATATTTCCCGCCAGTCTTTTTCAAATGGATTTTTACATAACTGAATTCTAGAACACATAAAAATGCATTATTTTGTATTCTTCTTTCTGAAATTATATTTCATCATTAACATTTTTCGTGGTGCTATATTAGCTTATATAACCACTGTTCAGGGCAGCAAAATATTCTGTTGAGTAGTCGTACTATAGTTTAGTTTATTTTTTTCTGTTGTTACACATTTAAGTGGTTTCCAAATATTTAAGGACCATGCTACTAATGTATCAGTTATAGTTCCCCTATGGGGTGCTATTTATATTTCAAAAAATACTGATTAATAGGTGAAAAAAATAGTAACTTACGGCTTTGTTTTGCCTTCTTTGGTGTGTGTGATTACTAGTTAGACTGAACATTTTTTCTAATCAGAAGTATAATAAATATTTAATTATTTTCTTCTACTTCTTCCATGTTTCAACTTAATATTTAATTCTGTAATCTAACAGGGATTAATTTTGTGTGCAAGTGAAATGAAGGTTTAACTTTAAAGAAATTCCCTCAGCTCACCAGCTAGTCCAGCACCACAATGATTCACTGATTTCTGATAGATTATTATATGTTTAATTCTTATATAATTAATAAGGATCTTTTTCTGGGCTATTTTGTCTTGCCTGTTTTGCTAGCATTACAAGTTAGAGTGGTGTTTTTTGGTTTGTTTTTGTTTTTTAAAGCAAGCTCTAGGCCCAACATGGGGGTCTGAACTCAGGACGCTGAGATCAAGAATTGTGTACTTAACCAACTGAGCCAAACAGGCTCAGACACCCCTGGAGTTTTAAAATATATTAAGATTTTATTTATTTGAGAGATTGAGAAAGAGCACAAGCAGGGGAAGAGGCAGAGGGAGAGGGAGAAGCAGGCTCTCTGCTGAGCAGGGAGCCCGATGTGGGGCTTGATCCCAGGACCATGACCTGAGCAGAAGGCAGACACTTAACCGACTGTGCCACTCAGATGCCCCTTAAAATATATTTTAAATTCTGGAAGAGTTATCCTTCCTTCATTATGTTCTCTTTAGAGAACTTAAAAAAGATTCTTATCAAACAAACAAATGAACACTGGCGGTGGGGGGCGGTGGGGAGGAAAACCAAGAAACAGACTCTTAACTACATAGAACAAACTAATGATTACCAGCAGGGAGGTAAGAGGGGGAATGGGTGAAGTAGGTGCTGGGGATTAAGGAATGCACTTGCCACGAGCACTGGGTGTTGTATTTAAGTGATGAATCATGAAATTCCTCACCTGAAATGAATATTACACTGTATTTTAACTAATTGGAATTTCAACAAAAACTTGGAGAGAAAAGAAATAAATACATAAATAAAGCACTTGTACACAACGAAAAAATTCTTATCCAGTTTTTTCCAGATGACTTATGTTTCTGAGCAGCTGAAAAAACTATGATGATGTCTATAAGCATTGCTTTAAAGTTATAAACCAATACGTGTAGAAATAATATTTATAATATTTATTTTTCGCATCCATTAATTGAAGAATTCTATTAGCTTAAAAAATTCATTTGACAAAACTATGAACATAATATGATCAGCTCCATTAATTTTTAACCGAAATACGATCATAAGATTCAGTCACCCTTTTCATATTGAACCAATCTCCTTTTTTGCTCTCTGATTTATTGCTGTGTTTGAAAAGTCTCCAGACGTAATCTCCACCCTTTCCTTTTTGAATAGGATCTACTAGATCTCACTGAAAAGTGGCTGAAGTGACTCCCTCTAGACGATCTTCTTGCAAAAGTTAAGACGCTATACCCACTGAATTCTCACTCACCGGACCTTTACTTGGGCCAGTGATCAGCACAGCATGGCCCAGAACACAGATCTGTCTCTGTCCTCATGGACTTCACATTTTACAATACTCTATTAGTAGAAATTATGTACAATGATTAAAAAAAAAAAAAGATAAACCTGTACATTTTGGTGCATTTTCTTTTAGTGAAAGAGATAAATGAAGAAAGGCACTTACTGCATCACTTAGGACTTCACTGTTAATAGGTAAGATGTGTTCAATTCGCACAAATGATAAGAGAGAAGAAAGGATCTCTCTAAGCTCTTCGATGTCTAGGTCTCGTCTTTTTACGCCTCTTCTGTTCACACTATGGGCAGTGCCACTCAGTAAGTTTGGCTCTATGAGACAGAAAACAAAAGTCTTCAACCAAATCCAAATTTTCAAACTTTTTTCTCTAGTACACTTTTGGTAACATGCTATATACTTAAGTGCATCTGCTTTAAAAAGGATTATAAATTATTTTTGTGTCTTAAGTTTACTTACTAGAGATCTTCTTTGACAAAGACAAAGCATGATATCAACAGTAGGATAATTTTGATTGTTTTCCATTAAAAAATAAAGAATTCTTTTCCACATACTAACTCAAAGGAGAAAAGATGACAATCTATTAAAATCTAGTTTGACCAAAGGCTTCTTAAGCTTTCTAACTGCTGTGACCAGTTTCTAGTACAATTAAGGCATTACAGAGCAAGTGGCATTTGTCACTGTTGTGTTATCAGTATAGTCACTAGGCTACCATGTTTACCAGCAATTTAGTAAGGTATTAATTACCTGGTATCTCAAGCAGCAAAACTTAATGTGTACTGTATTTAACTTTTTGTGATAGTCTCCTCAATTTCTATAATATGGGAATGTTACTGCATAAAAGGGAACAGTTAGATCTCAGACATGCAATATATTCCCACTGTCTAGGGCAGAGAGTAAAGGTTTTCTTCATTAGGTATCAGTGAAAGAAGATCTGAAGTACATATAAGCTTATAAACATTGAGTGGAAAAGAGAAATTACTAAAATTTTGGGAATCTTTAATCATATCTATAATCTAGGGGCCATATATATATATATTTTTTTTTTCACTGTATTTTTTTTCTTAAAAAAAAATCTTTAAATTCCTAAATATAAGTGCTATATTTTTTGCAAGCACTCTTTAGGCAAATAGGCATTTCCCTTAAATCATGTGATAGACACATGGACAGAGAAGAAATAATTGTTTTTTGAGAAGCTAAGCTTTTTCTGGCATCATTCAAGACAAAATTATTGCAAGCATGTGGAAAAGGGTAATTTTCCCTTGCCTTGCTATGATTTGGCTTCATACTTATACAAAGTGCTGCTTTTCAAAAAAATTTTCCCCTTAAAATAGTGGCATCCTGTTTTCAAATGAAATCTTACATAAAACTTCCAAATATGTAACAGGTTAGGGCAGAACCCTTTTTATGAAGATGACAGAAAAGCGTAGCCTGAGGTGCTTCGGTTCCTCCTCATCCCTGGGGAAGAGCCTTCTGTTCTAATCCCATCAGGAAACTATATATTTTAAGGGAAATCTTATCAAGGATGCTCATTATTTGCCTAAAATAAATATGACACTCCCTCATTACCAACCTTACATCAGTGAACAGGCCTATGGCCTATAAGGATTATGTAGCATTATTTACAATTAATTCTTGTTGGAGTAGTCCTATTCTATAAGGTCAGTATAAACAATTAGCAAATACTGAACCACTGCTCCTATGAGAAACACAGGGTTAGGTTCCTGTGAGCCTCTGGTCACAACAGTTTTATCGGCCTATCAAGACATAACCTTGTTTTATGTGTTTCTGTTTAAAGACACCTTATTACTAAATATTGTTGATTCACGAACACTGCACTCATAGCCAACAGCACTGTCACTCTTCTCTGAACAAGCTTATTTAACTCCTGGCTTCTGTGTAAGGGGCATCACAACCTTCCTGTGCTTGGAAATATCATATAGCACTAAAAGTTATAATGGGAGGCCAGTTTGATCAGTAAGATCACCAAAAAAACAAAAAAACCAAAAAACCAAACAAAAAAAACCAAACCCATAAAATATGAAAAACATGACACTATTTTGAATAGACTAAAAAGGACACTTGTTTGCAGTATGAGAACTGATATAAGAAGGCAGACTGTCACCCTGTTCCACCTGAAGCTGAGAACACGTGCATCAGGGGATTTTTATTATCTTGAAATGTGACTGAACTCAATAAATGCACTAAAAATTTATCACTGACTTGAACCCTTTAAATAGGTGAGCTTCATGATATGTAAAACAGATCTAAAAAAGCAATCAAAGAATGACAGGAAAGGAAAATGTGTATTTAATTTTTCTGATTAAAATGTTTTGAAAAGAAATGTTTTGATTTGGGCTTGCTGTATGGAGGAACACAACATTCTATGAGGGAAGGAGCATTAAGAGATCAGTCTCCATCTCTTCTGCAATAACCCCAGTTGGAAGCAGTTCAAAAGCATTATTTTTCCTTTACCTTCCACAAAATTTAAAAATAAACAAATGGGCTTTTTTGGGGGGTGACTAGTCATATATTTTTTAATTGACGTAAAGTTGACATAACATAAACCTCATCATTTTAACCATTTTAAAATGTACAATTCAGTCAATGGCTTCTAGTATATTTAAAATGTTATATGTACATCACCACTATCTAATTCCTAAGCATTTCCATTAAAAAATACGCTTTAAATGAAAATCATTGAACGAAAAATTTCATTCTAATACTTCTATAAATCAGTAAACATTATTAAGCACATAGATAACATGGAAATACCCTTTTAAAGTTGTAAAACAGAATTTTCTGGTATATTTATTTCTAACAAAGTATACTCTTCTCCACTAAAGGATGTTATGGGCTGTGAAAATTTCTGTTCTCACCAGGCCATAGTGGTTATTGTCGAGATGGACACACAGCATGTCTCCGGACAAAAAACTTACAGTACAAGCTAACTTTGGGAGCTTACCTCTGTCAGCTATTCTTTTCATCAACTGATGCTCACCCCATTTAATCAGATACTTAAGGATATCTTGTTCACTTGCCTAGAATAAGAAACGGCTTACATTTATTTTAGTGAAATTAGACAAACGGCGAATTTCATTACTCACTTTTCCTAGGTCATAATGTACACGCAGTGTGCAACCCAACACCTTTTCCTCTCCACTGGCTGTCTGAGATGTTCCACAAAAACTGTAGCCCACCAGCAGCAAACACACGACCGCTTCATATGTGTCCAGTAACCTATCTCTCAGCACCAACTAAATTTTTTATTGTTTTCACCTTTATTTTTTCTTTTTCCTATTCTCTTTACCTATTTTAAACTTATTTTATTCTACTATATGGTCTCTATACAGGTGCCTTAAATTCTTCCTGGGACAAGGTAGAGATAAATAGATGAAAATAAAAGTATATAGATACCTAGCGATTACGATCTCCTGCAGGAAAAGAAAACACAGGTATAGCAACTTGTTTTGGCAGAGACACTACACTCTGCACAATGTATGCTACTGACTGGTGAAGGGCCCTTCCAGCAGTCTGTGAAATGGCAAGGTGCCCTTCATTTCTTTGTACTTTACTGAAAATCTCAGCGCAAATCTAGGCTGCTCTCCAAGGCTTTTACTTTCTAAATAGAAATGCAAAGCTTTCTAAAGACAATAATCCGAGAGAATTGACAAATCCTAACCCCCATAGTGCACGCAGTCTGGATCAGGACAATGAAACGAGGTTAATGAACAGAGATCCTAAATAAATCAAATCCAATTACAACAACATTTGTACTGCAATCAAAGCACAGATGCTAAGTGGATTATTTAACTCTTCACTGAATTTCTCACTGGGATGGAAACATTTTATTATTTTCCTAGTACAAATAGAAATAGGTAATGACTCAAAGGGTTTATGTTTTTATAACATTAAAACTGTTGTATAGTTTTTGCCATAAAATTCATACAACCAATGGCAAACTAATTAAACTTGAGCATATGTTACTTGAAAGTATTTTTTGTAATATTTTAAATTTATTGTTAGTTTAAATTACCAAATTAGATTGACATATAAGTCGATGACAGAAGAATTTGCTAAAAACTACTGATTAAAAATTAGTTAAAAACATTATTATATTCTGATAAGACAAATACACTGAGTTTTTATAAGCATTTGAGTAGATTAGAAATTGAATACTATTCTTACTTTGTGCTGCTTAAGCTACTGTCTACAGTCTAAGTATCTGACAATCCATGCAAAACAAGAAATTGTTATAGTGAATTAATGGAATCCAAGACAATCTCTGTTGGGATATGCTTCTGACCTTGCCTACTGCCCCAACCCTTTGGTGTAGTTGGCTGGGACCTGGGCTTGTTCACAATGTTGAGCTATAGCAGCAGGTGTGTGAAGGGCCAGAGAGCCAGAAGGCTTTTCCTGTACAAATCTGAAGAGGGCATCCCTGGGTGGGCTGATCTCTCCCTAGATGGGAGAATAACAGAGTGTAGGTAGGTTTCCTGGTGCACATATGGATGGCAATGAATTTGACAGGTGTATAAATGATTACCTGTAGGTAGTCAGACTGGATAGCAGTGAGCAGATGGTCTTTGCTGAGTTCATAAAAAACATCCGAAGTCATGACCTGGGAAAACTCCTCACAGAGGAAATGTAAAGCTTGTCGATGCACCCATTTAGAGCCATATGGATGAGAGCTCCACTTGAGGATGGCAATTAAGGTATCTAGTGAGATGTTCTCAGCAATGATATCCTCACAGCCTAAAAGAGAAGGCAAATACTTCTTAAGATAGTCATAAATAATACTTATGGAACATTGGTACGTTAGACACTGTGCTTAAAAGTAGCAGTAATAAACAAGAACATGGAGATAAATAAATTTCATGGAAATCACCAAGACCTGGAGGGATGGGGTAACAGCAGGTAACAACAGACTATGACATCTACAGGAAATCTGCTGTTCAGTAGAGACAGATCCATAGAAAGAGGCAGAGAATCCTCACAACTGTATAAGAAAACAAGTATCTGTGCAAATCCAACAATTTAAGTAAGACACGATAGTGGAGAGCAGTGGACCACAAGGCAAAGAAGAGAAGGTAGAAATGACACAGTTGTGGGAACTGACCAGTCAGAGAAAGTCTAAAGCTGGGAAACACAGTTCATGACATACTGGATGACATGATCAGGACCAGCTCAACGGCTGGGTGGAAAACGAAGGTGAAATAGAACCAGGAAAATTAGAAAGTTCTGTATCTCAGTGAAAGAAAATCAACTGCACAGAAGATGGGAGAACTAAACCACAGGCTGCGTAACAATGATACCTGGGTGCTTGAGCTGGACGGATGCAAACCGTGACATGGCTGCTGTAGGGCTGAAGCAAGCTCAAGCTTTTAAGATTCAAGCACAGAGTCCTGACCAATGGAACAATGTGGCACTGATGTCCCATGGGATGCTGTGTTCTGTCTGGGCCCCGTGTTTTAGATGGGGCATTGACAAAACGCCAGGATTCTCAGAGGAGGGCAAAAGAACAGTAGGGAGTCTGAGACCTGTCACAGGAGAAAAGCTCCGAGCAACCAAGATTACTTGGCTTATGTAAGAGAAACCTGAGGGGAGACATAGGTGCTATCTTTAAATGTCTGACAGACCTTCATGAGGCAGAGGAGAGAGGACAGACTTCCCTGTTGTTCCAAGGGCAGGTCCTGGATGTTAAATGGATATTGAAAGAATTGAAAGAAGGGGGATTTTGCCTCAATATCAAGACATTTCTAACAATTAGATTTGTTCTCCTCTTGTCCCTAAAAAAAAAAAAAAAAAAGATCCTTCTAGAAAAATCTAAGGGGATAGAGTACCAAGAACCCCTACGCTGGATATGGAGCTGACGTCAGATAGTGTTCAAGCTGCTTCCATCACAAAGATAAAATCTTTTCTTTAAAAAAGATTTTATTTATTTATTTATTTATTTGCGCGCGCGCGCGCGAGAGAGAAAGAGAGAGAGAGAGAGATCACAAGTAGGCCGAGAGGCAGGCAGAGGGAAAGGGGGAAACAGGCTCCTTGCCAAGCAGAGTGTCCAACGTGGGACTTGATCCCAGGACCCTGAGACCATGACCCGAGCTGAAGGCAGAGGCTTAACCCACTGAGCCATCCAGGTGCCCCACAAAGATAAAATCATCTTTTAGAAAAGCAGTAACAGAGTATCAATGTGAGAGTAATTTAATCTAAACATTAAAGATTAATTTCCTTAATCTCAACATTAACCTGAGATCCTGATAAGGAACACTGAGATCACCACAATGGACTCCGTGTATAAACAACACCCAAAGAAGTGAGTATGTGCTGACGAGGAGTGAGAGAAACGGAAAAGCTGTAAACCGCTCTCACGATTTTACGGGGAGCCTTGCATGCCGGCGGCCAGAGGAAGACCTGTGTCATTCCTCTGCTTGAAGGCAGGCCCTGGACTAGAGGTGAGGAGAATGAGTCAATCTGTCAGGAGAGGCAATCTGATAGATGAGTTTGGGCATGAAGAAAGGGAAGTTAGAGAAAAGGTGGTTATTGAAAAGGATGTATCACAATCCTACGAAACCCGGATATTGGCAGAGGGAAAGAAGGAGAATTAATAACATCATATATCTAAACTCCTGAAAAGTTTTCAAAGAAGTGAGACGTGATAGGAAAAAGTAGGCTTTGCAATCAATATAGATCGGACTCGAAATCCCACCTTGGCCACTTAGAAGCAAAGTCATTTTGGACAAATCCTTTGCCTCTTTGAGCCTGAAATGTTCTCATTTGTAAAACTGGGTTTATTCTCCTAACTCTGGGTTGTTACAAGATTTAAATGATTAACATAAGATTAAATGAGTACCCTTGACACTCTTCATTTATTCAAACATTCTGCAGTATCTACTTGCCAAGAGCTGTGAATACAATGCTCTTTTTACCACACACTTTCCTGGGTGATATCATCTGCCCCCCCAAGGCTTTAACTCCCAAAGCATCCTCATGACTTTCAAATCTATATAGAGTTCCAGGGTGCCTGGCTGGCTCTGTCAGAAAAGCATGTGATTCTTAATCTTGGGTTGTGAATTTGAGGCTCACCTGGGGTATAGAAGATTACTTAAATCAACTTAACAATAAAAACGTCTATACACAATTCTAACCCAGAGCTCTCTCCTGACTCCCAGACTTATTCCGTCAACTTCCCACTGGAGAGTTCCATGGGGATATTCTGCAGACCTCTTAAAGGCAAGTTAATTCGTTTCCTCTGGGAAATCTAGTACACTCCCCCATGCCCACCCCACCCCACCCCCGCCTTTTTAATCCCCGATTTAGAGAAAAATCCTCCTCCTCCCAAAGCCAGAAATCTTAGTAATAACAGTGATTTTTTCTCCTGAAGATTCTTTCTCTCCAATCACCATCAAATGCTGTTCATTCTATTCTTGTTTTAAATAAATCCCCTCCACTGAATCTCTACCACCTCCCCATTTCAGAATCTGATACTTTCTAAACCCCGCATCACTGAAATAGCCTCAAAAAGTTCCCATCTTTCTCCCTTCCAATCTGTTCTCCATACTGTTGCCAGATGATCTTTTAAAATGTAAATTAGATTATATATGTAACAAATTATTCAATAGCTTGCAAATAACTTCAAGATAAAATCCAAACTACATATTCTTGATGGTCTGGCCATTGCCAACTTCTCCAGCCCCATTCCTGTTCATATTCTACACTGCATTCATTACTTAGCATTTCCTAGAGTTCCACCAAACTCTCACCTCCAGGCCTTTGCATAAGTTGTTCCATTTTTCTGAAATGCTCTTAATTCTCCTTCTTAACTCATCCACATTTTTTAGACTTGCTTAGATATGGGTTCTTTCAAAACTCTATCCTCTTGTTCCCCAAAGCCTAGGTCAGGTGTTCCTCTTAAAAAGGCTGCCCTATTTCTCCCTTAATAGAAGATAAATAATAAATAATAATAATAATAATAATAAATAACAGCAATAAACTCTCATACTATTTTATATTTCTTCAATATCTGTCTGAATCCTCTACCAGACTTAGAGCTCCTTTGGGGTAGAGGCCCCACCTTCTGTCACTCTACAATGCCTGACGTCTAGTAGGCTAATCAATTAAAAAAAAAAAAAAAAAAAGCTAACACTTTTAAAACTTATTATGTGCCAAGTTTGTACTTGACTTAGAATATTTAATTTCAGTACTCCTATTCCAAGAAGGTGGTATTACTATTCCCATTTTTTTTTTAATTTTATTTTTTAAGATTTTTATTTATTTATTTGACAGACAGAGATCACAAGCAGGCAGAGAGGCAGGCAGAGAGGGAGAGGGAAGCAGGCTCCCCGCTGAGCAGAGAGCCCGACGTGGGGCTCGATCCCAGGACCCTGGGATCATGACCTGAGCCGAAGGCAGAGGCTTAACCCACTGAACCACCCAGGCGCCCCACTATTCCCATTTGACAGATGAGAAAACTAAGATTCACAAAGATTAATGAGCTTGTTCAATTCACACAGCTAGGAAGAAGACAAGTTGTATATAACAACATAGCCTTCCGCTTCTGCTGAAAAATCTCCCCCGTTTTCATTCCTCTAAACTTAGGTCTCATATGAATCAATGCTCATCAGAACTTCTTCACTTATAGCCACTCCTCTTATGAACAGAAAAGCACCTTATAAATATACCAAACATAGTGATACTAACTCACAAATGTGAAAGGAAAACAATTAGGCAAAAAATTGGAATGCTGAAAGGTATATTTTAAGAAGAGATTTATCTAATATTGTCAAATACAGTATTTTCATATTACAGTAAGGGATTTCAATTAGTGGTAATTTGCCTTTTGTCAAGGTTATTGATAAGGGAATGAAAACATACACAGAGCAACAAGGCCAAAGGGGTGCTGGCAGGGAAAGGCCAGCAAGCAAGACGCAGAAAGGCTTCATACAATGCCATTTCTTTGGTAAATTTTGGACCAGTCTTGTTGGCCCAAAAACATTACCAGCACATTGTCGAAGACGGCTGGATTCCTGTTGACAAAGGGATACTAAGCCAAACCCCACAAGGCCAATGCATAAATCAAAAGGTCCACTTATGTGCAGTGCAGGTGTTTACTTCTCTGTCAAATAAATAAGTAAAAATCTTTATTAAAAAACAAATTTCGAATCTGTCATGGACAAATACTTCAGTAGAAACCAATAAAAACACTTCTTGAATATTGTGACGATGTCAAAGTGCCAAGAAGTTTCTAAATGCTTACTCTCAGTAACTGTGCTTACCTCCTTACAGACACATTCTCAGGAGCACTGCTGTCTAGAATCCCATTCCTTCCCCTGTGCTAGTTTCAGGGTACAGAATAGTCAAATTTGTTTCCTCCCATTTGGTACTAATTAACTCTCAGAGGGAATTGTTTTTTCCTCTTCTATTTCCTTAGAGTTTACTGACTCTGTTTTCTAACTAGACATAAAACAGTATCCTCTTCTTTAAAGACAATTAAAAACATAATCAGAATGACTATCTTTTTAACTTTTATTTTTTTAAGTAGGCTCCATGCCCAGGGTGCAGCCCAACACGGGGCCTGAACTCACAACCCTGAGACAGAGACCTGAGCTGAGACTAAGGTGTTTAGCACCTGACTGGGTCACCCAGGAACCCCTATTTTATCTTCTTGAAGTTAGAAATACAGAGTGTAAGAGTATTATTCAAATATGGCAGATTACTGTACATATTCACCAACACCAGCTCTCTGATCCCACCAC